CCCCTTTTGATTTCATTCCTTTTCAGGAATGATATATCGTCAATTGAGTCGTTGTCGCTGTCCTCGTCACCCCCGCCTTCCTCTCCACCCCCGACTTCCTCTCCACTGACTTGCTCTAGACCACCTTCGACTTGCTCTCCACCTTCGACTTCCTGGGGTAAAGGGGATAGTTGGGGGTCAATGAGTGGCACAGTTTCGGTTCCGTGCGTCAATCTTTCAATGAGGTTATGCACGTTTGCATCACCTTCCTGTTGCAGGTTATAATATTGTTCAGCGGTTTCCACCGAATGCCCCATTTGCTTGGCCAGCTGGGCCTTCGACCCAGCAGCAGAGGTCTCCCCTCGTTGTAGACTAATGAGGCTCTTCCGCAGACGGGAACTCTTCAGTGTCCCCTTCAGCTGAGGGGCCACCTGTTTACCCATCTGAGCAAGGCTATTACTTGCTCGAGACTCGTCTAGAGGATTCCCTTTCGAGGAAATAAAAAACAATGGCAGAGCGGGAATTCCCAGGGCCGCTGGTGCCACAGAACTCTCCGTTGCGTACTTCGCACACAGTTCTTGCAGATAGGTATCTGCGTATGGCTTTATTTTGTTATCCCAAAACAATTTGGCCGGCCCTCCGGCCGCCATTTTGTGGCGAAGGGTTCGGGTGACAAATAGCTGCTCTGGGCCTGACGTAGTTCCATTTTGATATTCAAAGATTGTGAGATTAGATGCGGCCCCGCACCGCTGGCCGCTAGCAACTAAAACTCTCAGGAGCAAATAATCTCTCATTGCCGCAAAGTCATTCACACTGACTGTGGGATCGTCCTGGTTTTGCACGCTTAGGAACATCCTTTTAATCTCTTTGGCTGTGGAAGAATGCCTCGTAATCTTTGACACACAGCTTCTCATCCACGTCCCGCAGACGGATATCTGCCTTCCGTTTGTTCATGGCGTCTGCCAACGCCTTTGGCCAGGTCTCCAACCTGGCCATAGCAGAATTGACTAAGCGAAGATCTGCATCACCGAAGTCTTCCAACTTCCTGATTTCTTCTTGCCGGGCAATAACAAACTGGAAGAAGAGGCGCAGTGATCCAATATACGCCTTTAGCGTTGTTGGCTGTCTCTTCTCCTCCTCTCCCAGTAAGTCATTACCCTTGAAGAAGTTGTTTTTAAGATAGTTAATATTGTTACTGTCCCAGAGAGGTTTCACTGAGCTTGGGTGGTCGTCTATTTCATACAAAAGTCGACACACCCGCCTCGTATGGTCTTTCGCCACTTGAGGCTTTCGAGAGCCCCCCTCAAAGTCCTTCAAATGATGCTTAAACAATTGAAGGACAGGGAGGCTCTTGAAAGCTTTACGGGTGTCCTTGTCGGGGTCTTCTTTTGGGGCTCTTGGTTCTGCGAGCATCACGCCCAGCAGGGTAGTGTCTATTTCCTCGGATTCTGAGGAATCGGATTGGAGTTCATGCTGTCTGGTTACATCTTCTCCAAGTATGGATGGGTCAGGGTTAGAAGGCTGAGGTAACTTACTTTTCTTTTTCCTTTCTCTTCGTTCTGCCTTTTTGGCCTCCGTTCTCACTTTCGACCTCCTCACTTTCGTCCTTGGCCTCCTCTTCTTCCTCGACCTCCTCCTCATAGTTCGAATCATCCGTATCATCATCGTCTTCCCCCTCGGAAGGGGGCGGTGATGGCTCTCGCCTTTTGAACTGCTGTATAAATGGGTCCTAAAAATACAATGTTTAAAAACACATTATTTCGAGCTACTCGTACGAGTATACACCAATTACGAAATTAGTACATGTAACTAACCTGTGACTGTTGGGACAGGTTGATCTTGAAAAGATCTTCCTCAGCCTCCACGTACTGACATCCCTGGACATCCATGTATATTTTTATAAGTGCCTCAGGGAAGAGGACCTTGCAAATATAATCAGGCGAGTGCTCCTCGCCGAACATCAGCGCCAAGGTACTGGATACAAGCTCGTGCTGGTCGTCGCTATACTTGCCCATTGGACAATTAGCGTCCAGGTTGAAGCGACCTTTTCCACCATGTTTAAACAAATTGAACCATTTGTTCGGTCCTTCACCTTTTCCGATGTCAGTCAGAAACAAACAGAGACCCCTCACACGTTGTTCCAATTCCTCGGGGCGGATAGTAGATACCATGATTCTATAAAAAAGTTATGAAAAAACGACGATATAACCAAAGTTGCAGCACTTATTTGACAAACTTGAAAATTTGCGTTTTAGCGAAAATTTTTTGTATATCTTAACTATTTTCAACTAAATGATTTTGGTCGAAATCTCGTAGATATATTTAAACGGATAAGTGCATTGAAAAGAGCTTTAAAAATAGAACCTTACATTGGAATAAAATTAGATTACTACACATGAAAATAACAGAGATAATTAAGCTTGAAATTTCCTGTCACGGAAGCGCGAATTACAATTGCAAACTTTAAGCTTATTTGAAATTTGCGCTTCCTTGACAGCAAATTTCATGCTGAATTTTCTCTGTTATTTTCGCGTGTAGTAATCTAATTTTATTCCAGTATAATGTGCTATTTTTAAAGCTCTTTTCAATGCATTTATCGATTCAAATATATCTACGAGATTTCCACCAAAATTATTTAGTTGAAAATTTGCGTTTTAGCGGCAATTTTTTTCTATTCATTTCTATTTTTTCTTAACGATATTCAACTAAATAATTTTGGTCGAAATCTCGAAGATGTATTTAAACGGATAAGTGCATTGAAAAGAGCTTTAAAAATAGAACATTACGTTGCAATAAAATTACATTATTACACGGAAGAATAACAGAGCGTTGATCATGAGCATCAAAAACTTTATACTCGTTGATTTTTTAAAAAAAAGTTGTACGTAGCAGGACCACCTTAAGGGGTTTGCCCCCCGAACCTATTGAGCTCAGTATATAGGGCACCTAAAAGGCACCCCTCCCACAAAGTTTGGAGTCATTTGAAAAAATCTTTCCCTGAAGGGCTAAGTTTCGAAAAAATCAACGAGGGAACACTCCTTGGATAGCAACGGTGTCCCCTCGTTGATTTTTTTAAAAAAGTTGTACGTAGCAGGGCCACCTTAAGGGGTTTTGTTCCCAAACCTATGAGGTATATAGGGCACCACTAGGCACTGCCCGTCACAAAGTTTGGAGTCGTTTGAAAAAATCCTTCCCCAAAGGGCTAAGTTTCGAAAAAATCAATGAGGGAACACTCCCCGATAGCAACAGTGTCCCCTCGTTGATTTTTTTAAAAAAGTTGTACGTAGCAGGGCCACCTTAAGGGGTTTGGTTCCCAAACCTATGAGGTATATAGGGCACCCTAGGCACCGCCCCCACCAAGTTTGGAGTCGTTTGAAAAAATCTTTCCCCGAAGGGCTAACGAAAAAACTATCTGCACTGCAAGGATAGACATTTCATACAAACTACATCATGCTAATTAGGGCCAGGGTTAGGGATCGGTTGTCATGGTCAAGATCAAAGAAATCTATTTGCGACAGAAACAAGGATTTATTCATAATATTTACAATGATGACGTCACAACGATTAAGTTAGTGTTGAGCTTACAGTTAATTACGATGGGTTAGGAGCGTATGATTGTACTTAAACTGAGGTTGTTAATATGGAAAGAGGAGGCCGTTTTTGATGTATAGTCAAATTAAGACGCAAGTCGTCGTTTACTACTGATAGGTATACTAGTCTTAGAAAAGAAGTCCCAGTATTAAATTCTCTTATTAGTAAATGTCTATGAATAAAATGCGATATAGGAATAGTGTAATTGTATAAGAAATTAAAATTCCAATAAGATCTAAACATGATGAAAAAATTCCTATAAGAAATAGAAATTCCTATGGGAAGAAGGAGTTATTTCGTAAATTATATTTATCTGTATTTTTATATAAGTAAAGTTCTTATACCCATGCATGTATCAGGCCATATGGGTATAGGCTATGAATTTTCCACCATTTTCCAATCCTATACTGCTGTTTGCAAGCTACCATTTAGGCGCGCGATTTTTTTCAGGTTTGTAAGTTGTACGTAGCAGGGCCACCTTAAGGGGTTTTGTTCCCAAACCTATGAGGTATATAGGGCACCACTAGGCACTGCCCGTCACAAAGTTTGGAGTTGTTTGAAAAAATCCTTCCCCAAAGGGCTAAGTTTCGAAAAAATCAATGAAACACTCCCCGATAGCAACGATGTCCCCTCGTTGATTTTTTTAAAAAAGTTGTACGTAGCAGGGCCACCTTAAGGGGTTTGGTTCCCAAACCTATGAGGTATATAGGGCACCCTAGGCACCGCCCCCACCAAGTTTGGAGTCGTTTGAAAAAATCTTTCCCCGAAGGGCTAACGAAAAAACTATCTGCACTGCAAGGATAGACATTTCATACAAACTACATCATGCTAATTAGGGCCAGGGTTAGGGATCGGTTGTCATGGTCAAGATCAAAGAAATCTATTTGCGACAGAAACAAGGATTTATTCATAATATTTACAATGATGACGTCACAACGATTAAGTTAGTGTTGAGCTTACAGTTAATTACGATGGGTTAGGAGCGTATGATTGTACTTAAACTGAGGTTGTTAATATGGAAAGAGGAGGCTGTTTTTGATGTATAGTCAAATTAAGACGCAAGTCGGCGTTTACTACTGATAGGTATACTAGTCTTAGAAAAGAAGTCCCAGTATTAAATTCTCTTATTAGTAAATGTCTATGAATAAAATGCGATATAGGAATAGTGTAATTGTATAAGAAATTAAAATTCCAATAAGATCTAAACATGATGAAAAAATTCCTATAAGAAATAGAAATTCCTATGGGAAGAAGGAGTTATTTCGTAAATTATATTTATCTGTATTTTTATATAAGTAAAGTTCTTATACCCATGCATGTATCAGGCCATATGGGTATAGGCTATGAATTTTCCACCATTTTCCAATCCTATACTGCTGTTTGCAAGCTACCATTTAGGCGCGCGATTTTTTTCAGGTTTGTTTACGTTTCAAACAGTCGGGTTTTGACTGGAAAACGTTAACGTTTTGAGCAAGCCAATCAACGTTTGCCATGATCTTATCAAAGTTTCTTCTCATGGTCATCGCTACTTCCGCCCACATGTTATCAGCACATTATAAGCATTCTCTATAACAGTAAATACAAGGGCGATATAAATTTTAGTGTGCGACAAAATGAAAGTTCAAATAAAAATCCTTTACGGTCCAAATTATGAAAGATGCAAAACATCAGTTCTTGCTAAAGAAGCATTCTCCTCACTGCAAAGAAATCTCTCGTGTTCAAACAGTTTGTTGGTGATGCACACATTTCTTGAAAATGCATGTGGCATCTACCTGGCATTCTCAAATGGTCTTAACGTCCTTAAATCATGTAACATTGACATGTCATCTTCAATTAAACACCTTTTGCTATGCATCATCTATTCCCTTCACAATCTGATGTACTCCTGCAGCTGCTTTTGATGCCCTAACCATAGCGTGTCTTGTCTTGTTTGCTCCCATCCCTCTCACAACATCCTTACTCACTGTATTGCAGATCTCTTGAGCCATATCACAAGCAATGTTTTTGCCCTGACCACCATTCCAATTAATGTATTGCCCCCATGGTAGCCTGTGCGCCATCTCCTCAGATAACAAAGCTTCCATCTGTGCTATACTGGTAAACATCTCAACAGAATAATTTTGGAATGAAGTTGATGGTTTAAATTACTGCAAGAGTCTTTTTTGGATGTTATTCCTTATGCTGTCACCTTAAAAGATAAATTGTCCTTTGTGATGAACTGTTCTTAGTACTTAATTGCTATATTACCATATAATTTTAGTTCAAAAGGGTTTGTAACCCACACTACCTGTTTTGTTAGCATGTTGAACTGCTTAGTTGCACTTAAAGTGCCCCTGACACAAAAATTTTTTCAGTCTATTGAAAGTACTCATTTAGTATAGTGTTCTAGCGAAATAATTTTTCGATTTCATCAAAACGAAAAAATTTTAGAGCCGTTTGAATCCAAATATTTTTGGTTAATGGCCGTCGTCGACAGAAGTCTGTAGCATTTATTCTGACGTCACGCAAGGGAGTCGAGTCTTGATGGTCTGTTAAGTTATCTGTTTTAATCAGCTCAAATGTTTTGTTCGCTGAAGTGTTTAACTTTTTATATTCTAAGTTCTATAAAGTATCATGTCAACAGAATCAGTCCGATGATTCTGGAGCGAATTTTATACCTGGTTAATATGATGTATTGGAAGATGCTAATCTGTAGCTGCATCTCGTCAGGTCTCTAGTGGTATCATTATTAAATATTACCAAATCTGCGACGCGGACGTGACAAAAAACTGCCGCTATTATCACAGTTTCACTTCACAGATAAAAACTGTTGTTGGTAAGCAAAGTCAGGGATACAAGAAACACAAAGTAAAACTAGTCTCCCATTTATCAGTTAGCGATTGTTTTTTAGTCGCGCCATGTCTCAGATTTGGCGCATCTTTAATAAGCTTCCTACTAACGTGTCGTTCTATGACTTTGCAAGGTTCGTATCTCCGGTTCGGTGCATGCTATAAAGACAAAATTACTACCATTCGATTCAGTGAAACAAAATCTCCTTATTTCTAATGATAGTTTTAGTCAAATATAGTTTTAGTCAAATTGTAGTCAAATAGCTATTTATGACCTTTGAGAGGTCAAGCGGTGTCATAATTCATTATATTACTCAATTAGTCTCGAACAATGTAAAGTAGCCATACCTTTAGCCGACCATAACTTCGGCCCCTTTGGACATATCTTTTTCGCTATAGTCTTATTCGAACCGGAATCCAAAACACTATTTAGAGTCATATTTTCAAGCTTTTGTCTTCAGATTTGCATCTTTTATTTCGGTATTACAAAATATTTATATTTTTAGCTGGCCCGCAAAACCGAAATTGGCGAAATATAATTGCAAATTGAATCATCAAAACAAAGCAAATCATCGTCAGCCTTTATTAGCTTCAGATAGTTAGGCTTGCTGAGCCCCGGCAACGAAAAAAATGCCTCTCGTAATCCTCTGTTCTACAATGATCCGAGTACAATGATCCGAGCATATAGTCGAAGTCTTTGACGGCACAAACAAACCCTTTGCACATACAAAATCAACCCATACTAGTTCTTCTTTAGCTTCCGCATGTTCGTCATTGAAGTATGGAATATTGTGTAGACTTATTCCATCTTTTAAACATACTTTATTGGTACAGTTAGCTGCAACACAGTAAAAAGGCATATCTTTTTCGATCACAAATCTACTTATATATCCGCCGAGAGTTCATAGTACTAGTATAGTCGAATAAAAGAATATACGCCGACTCACTTGCGTGACGTAACAAAAATCGCTCGTTCCAGTTTCCTTCGAACACGGACGCCTGCCAACCAAAAGCCCAAATTTTGCGTGTTCAAACAGCTCTGATGAAATCGAAAAATTCTTTCGCTAGAACACTATACTAAATGAGTACTTCCAATAGACTGAAAAAAAATTTTTGTGTCAGGGGCACTTTAATATATAAATAGTCAACATAGGAGTGGAGTGTATCAGATCCTTTATTAGCATGTATGAAACTTGCCTTCTTTGCACATGTGAAAATTTAAGGAAATGAAGCTACATTTTATTAAAAAAAGTGTAGATAGATTATTCATATGGTACATTTAGGGACAACCTTTCTGGAAAAAGGTTTTGATGGGTTAAATTTTCGTAATTCTATGTATCCATAATTGCACGAAGGGTTTTTTAATATGTATATATATATATATAAATCACAAGCCATTAATACTATGCCTCAGATGATATATAGGGTGCCTCAGATGATATCTAGGGTGCCCCTTTGATTTTAATACATACTTATAAGTAATAGCATGACTTGAGGGAGATTAGTGATTAAATGACCCTGTAACCAGATGCAGGTTTGCAATATTTAAAACAAACTTACCTTTGTTAACGTCGGCTCCCTTGTAGTCCTTTCTTTTAGCCGATTCTTTTGCCCTTTCTTTCTGAGAAAGCTTTTGAAATTGACAAAATCTTGCAAAAATGCAAGCAAAAATGAAATATATTTGCAAGAAATTTATCAATCATCAAATCAAGAAATGTTTCCTATTTCACTGTCGTCATGCAGGCGTTATAATGCAAACTTTAAATTGGACCAATCAGTGTCCGCTATTCATGGGTGAGCCACGTCCGCGCGATCATTGATGAACTTTAGACTTCGCTAATGCTTTTGTTTCCCCGGGAATTAGTAATCCCCGAGGGGATTCCGCAAACCTGCCGAGTGTAAGGGATCATTTAATCACTAATCTCCCGAAAAGCCATGCTATTAGTTTGCAATAGCACAGTTAAATTCCCATTTGAAAATGGACAAACATGCCCTACTTGCAATCAGCGAATTTAAGCTAAAACATTTGCTTCTTTGCTTGTGGGATGTAAAAGCTTGTTGCACATGCACACTTTTTACACTTTAATCGTTTACACATGCGCAATATATCATTTAAGGTACCACAACAAAAACAATAAATATATTAGTATAAAATAGGAGACTGCATGAGCGTAATTTAACTATACAGGTAGTTGCAGCTGGCAGCAAAGCAAGTGCAAGATAGATTTGTTTGCACATTGAGAAATAACCAAACTATAACACAAAAGTACAGTACATGTAGTTGTTCCTTACCCTTCAACATCACTACACCAGTTTCCATTGCTTTGGTCATCTTCTGATTGATTTTTACTTGAACAAGAACTATTAATGAAAAAGAGGTAAACTGTATATCTAATTCCTTTTGAGAGTGAATTTGCCTAGCAATATACAGACTTGCTAATGGGTTTAATCAAAGACACAGATCCACATTGGTTTAGTCTTTTAAACAGAAACCTCGAACAAAGTAATTACCTTGTATCATAATCTGATTCTGAACTTGATGTATCACTCTCAAATGATGGGTCTTCAGTGTATGTTCTGAATTCAGGATTAATGAATGTGGAAACGCTCTCTATTCTGCTAATTTCAAGGTTCTGGTTTAGAGATGCAGATTGATGATGAACATCCATACCTCTGTGGTGAAGAATATATTAAATTAGGATTATATACATCCACATAAAGTAAGTTATAAATGGCAACGAGCAAATTACAGAAATCATACAGGTATTACAAAACTGTGATGTACTATTTAAAACACGAGTAGGAGTGTTTTATCAGAGATAAAACGCAGCCAAGCGTTTTATGTCTGATTAAACACAACGACAAGTGTTTTGAATAGCTTAAAATACGACAACAAAAGAATACTAATTAGGTGATGACCCATCATATAATCATACTAATTAGGATGAACAATTATATAATGCCACATGCTTCATCAGATATAAAGTCACTCCATGTGACATATTATGGCTGACATGATTTGCCACAACGTTTCTGAATTATTAATGAGTATTTTAAGTTGAAAGAGACACATTTACTATATAACAAACCACTGAACACACTTAAGCACAGTGGTCTCACACTCAGAATTTGGTCCTTGGGCCACAAAACATGCTGTTGCCCTTGCCCTTTCATTATATGAAAGAAATAGTTGGTACCAATATGTTGTTTCCTGTATTTTTTCACTAAATCTATGTCTAAAAATATCTATGGTATTTTATATGGTCTGTCATGTCTTACTTACATGTCACTTTCATTGGTGATATATCTGTAAAGCCCTTTTGGATAGGTCTACTTTTTTTAACTGGCGTTGAATGAACATTTTCTGATGGCTGATTTAAAACGACATGATCATAACGGGGGATGTAAATTATGAGTTATACTTCTTACCATTGCCTGGAGTCCTCAATAAACTTTCCATTGCTGGCAAAAGTTCTTCACAGAAATTTAGAAGTAAGTGCCGTGCAAAATAGCTGTGTGACTTTGTAGAAAATCCAACAGAATTTTTTTCTTGCAATCCACATCTCATATACATCCTTTTTTATTTTAATTTGTACAATTCCTACATACTGATAGCAGACATATCTGAGAATAATAATAATAAGAACTTCTTGCATCATACGCACAGCACAAGAATTAGAAAAGTTATTTTGAATTTTTCAAAATATCGGGTTTTTACTTGCACACACGTGCCACATGCTAAAATTGGCCAATAAGAAGCACCCATAGCCCCATGCACATGAAAATCACGCCATAGGGGTCCTTTACATTTAAATCGATTTCCGGCATTTCCCGAGTGATGGGATGTAAGCATTGCATTGTTTCGGATATTTGAACTTGAACTTCCGGTCAAAGCTCTCGCTTAAATTTAGATATTTTGACATACCGTAATAGAAGATGCAAATCTGCAGTTACAAGCTTGAAAATAACACTCTAAATAGTGTGTTCGATTATGTTTCGAACAAGACTAATACCAAAAAGATATGTTTAAAGGCGCCGAAGTTATACTCGGCGCCAGTTCGCTTGGAAAATAGGCAGCAAAAATGTTCACCTACAAAAAACAGCCTACAAAATTTGACATATTTTCAGATTGTTATTTCCAACCCTGCAGCAGTTGAGCGAGTATTTAGTCAACTTAAGTTGATTAAAACTGACCACAGAGCTAACCTTAAGCATGAAAGTTTACTAGCTCTGTTAACCACAGCTCATCTGAAATCAAGCTCGTCAGAGAGTAACAGTTGTAAACTGTTAAACTTGATTGCACCAAGGAAATGCAGGTCATACTAATTACTGACAACTACCGTCAACAACCGACAATTACCGACAACAAGCTGAGAAATACTGACAACAAGCAAATACATACTTTCATTGTATTCTTATAGTTATTTGGCTGTTTTTTGAGGAAACCCAAAATATATAAATTCGACAGATTTTGTCAAAAATTGTTGAGTTAAAACATTCCGCGATTAAATATGATGGATTTGTGTATGTCATCTGAGTCATCGACACCATATAAAAGTATAGATAGTATATCATCTGAGTCATCGACACCATAGAAAAGTATAGAGCTGCAGAGGTGTTTTGTTACATTTTTTACACAATAGTATATTTAAAATAGTGTTAGGGTTCTGATTAAATAGAAAATGTCACTTTTGTTGCCTTAAACTGAAAAGAAATACATTTTGATAGCAAAAACAAATTTAAAAATATTAGGAATTTTCCAGGAAAAACCCAGGTTATTTGCAGGTAATTTCAGGAAATTTTACACAGAGACGAAGAAATTTTGTAATTCCATTGTGGAAACACTGTTAAAAATTCGCTTTTTTATTCAGGTAATTCAGAGAAATATAAATACTATAAAAATAAGATATTAACATTAACTTGTATAAGTAAGAAAGCCTATTATCACAAATACTTTGAAGATAATTTTTTAAATATTAAGAAAACTTGAGAAGGTATTAATAATCTTATCAATCATATAAGCAAAAAATATTAGGTCTATGACTTGCCTAAAACATCCAATCAACAACACTATAACTTCAAATGCAAATAAAATTCCAAATATACTAAATAAATATATCTCAAAGGTGGGACAAAAATTAGCATCTAGAATGAAAAACCCATCTGCTTTGTTTGCTGATTATTTGCCAAGAATTAACAATCTTTGCTCCTTTGCTTTTAACCCAGTTTCTCATGTAGAAATTGAATTAGAGATATTGAAAATTCCAATGGGGAAAGCATATGGCTTGTATTCTTGCCCTGTCCGCATTTTGAAATCTGCTTGTTACATACTAAGTAAACCTCTAGCAGAAATAATTAAAAATTCAGTTGAAACTGCTATATTTCCAGATAGACTCAAACATGCAAAAATAATTCCTATTTTCAAAAGTATAAATGAAACTGATCCTTATAATTATAGACCAATATCGCTTCTATCAATCTTTAATAAAATTTTTGAGAAGATAATGTATAATCGATTAAAATGCTTTCTGGAGAAAAATAAACTGTTGTACAAGAAAGAATATGGAAACGATATGGATCGTGAAAAATTATCAACTCAACATGCTGTAATTGATATAGTAAACCATATACAACTGAATATGGACAAAAAAGTACTCTTGTGGTATATTTATTGATTTACAGAAAGCATTTTATACTGTAGATTATTCTATACTTTTGAAAAAGTTACATCATTATGGAGTCATATTTATCGAATCGTACACAAACAATGCAAGTTGGTGATAAAGTATCCAACAAAGAATTAACTACAATAGTTGTACCACAGGGGTCTGTTTTGGGACCCTTGCTTTTCCTTTTTTATGTTAATGACATCTATAATTCATCTGACAAATTACAATTTTAATTATTTGCGGATGATTTGATGTACGCTGATAAAGATCTAAAAATATTGGAATCTATACTTAATGTGGAACTACTTAACGTGTGTAACAGGTTAACTACAAATAAACTATCTTTGAATATAAAAAAGACATTCTGTGATCTTTCATCCTTATCAAAGAAGATAAATTATGAGGTAGATTTGAAGATATTTGACAACGGATTCAAACTCTTTTATTTGTTTGGAACGTAAACATTATGTCAAATATTTGGGTCTGCTTATTGACAATAATCTTACATGGAAATACCATATTAGTCATGGTAAGGAACATGTTGTAACTTATTAGAGGTGTGCATCGGATCAGATTGGACGTTTATAATCTGACAAAGATTTAAAAAGTACTTTTAAGTACTATTCACTGCTGTTCAAGTGTCTTATTGGAGTTTTTAACTACAACATATTTACGCAATTCAAATTTAAAGCAACCTCGTTTGTTTCGAGTATATTCTGGAGAGTTTTGAGCCATTTGGTTTGCTGTTTATAGATATGGAGGAAGGAATACAGTGGAAAAGAAACCTCAGTGGTATTCCCCATTTACCCATACATTATTGAAGGAACATTTGATAACTGATGACTCAAGCACAGAGTAAGGATATACAGAGGTGGAACTCGAGGCAAATCATGTCCCCACTTTTTTAATGCGCATGCGCGACCCTCTGGCAAGTGTCATGCACATTTTTTATCAGGAAAAAGATAGGGAAATGCAAAATTCTGGCAGTAAAACGGCGATTTTAAGCGCAGTAAGCGATTAATCTTCATTTTCTGCACAAATTTTGCAAATAAATGGCACACTGCGTCTTCTTAGCAAAAGGGAATTGAATGAGTACAATATAATGAAAATGAGAAAAAGCACCCGAAGGAGTGAGAATTTCTGGCAATCTGAAGATTCGATTGTGTAGACCTGAACTCCAGCTGGAACTTGGCAACTTTATGAGTTTTTTTTTCTCTAGCTCATATATATCAAATTATCATTATATTTTTGTCAAGTGCAATGTTGTATACTTGTATCAAAGCGTTGACGTTAATTTAAACATTGCATAAACAGCATTCAGATACGAAAATGAATATCAATATTTAACATGGACTGATGGAGTCATGGACATGGAGTCACAGTACATTAAAATACTCATATAGACTTTATTTAACATATATGTTGACCCAATGGTGGGGGATTGGTCAAATTATACTTTATAGTGATTCCCCTACTCCCTAGATTAATAGTACATTGGTTATTCACAGTGCAATTACAACCTTTTTTGGCTCTCAAAGGTCAATTTCTCAGTCATGCCAAGTTACTGAACATGTTTAATAATCTAATCTGTTTATTTATTTTATTTTTTATTTTGCTTTTCTAGATTGTCAATCATTCCTGTTGAACTACATTATTCATACAATGAATCAGATGCAGAATCTTACAACTATGTTAATTTGTTCACCTGATTGGGGAAAACCTGAGTCTATTTGATCTATATATTGGAATGCCTACCAATTTTACATAGCCTCAGGCAAACGTTTATATAATTAATCTTGAGTAATAGAGATGCTGTACCCCCTGACGGAGTGACCCTACTACCTGGATCATCCCACTAGGCAAGACAAGTTCAAAACTTTCCATGCAAACACTTGCATGGCAGTTGCTATAATAGGATATGAATATAATTTTGCCTTGCCAAGGTGGCTGGGATTTCCCTAGTACCCGGAGACCATATAAACAGGCCTTCAGATTACTGTAATAGTTTAATTGCCCCCCCCCCCCAATGCAATTAAAAGTGGTAGGCCTACTCCTCAAATCCAGCCCCCCTTTGAAGATGTGCTGTAAAGGTAGACAATTTTACTTGTTAACCCATTAAGTCGCATTGCGCATTTGCGCCCAACTTTATTATTTTACTCTAACACCAGACGATCCAGTTAATTTAATTAACCCATTGAGGTGCATTGTGCCCTGATGCACCCTACTTTATTATTTTACTCTGTCTTACTTGTCAAGAGGAGAGCACACTTTAACAGGGAAAGGATTAATTGAGAATATTTTCTCTTCTAATGGGAAAACTCTTTATCATAATAAAAGGAACAAATGAATGCAATTATTCATAGTATTTAACTTTTCATATAAAGCAAAGATTGTAAGAGGAAACATGGATCATTGGCTACTTTTTTTTAGTATTAATTTTCATTATAGCATGTGGGGTTAACTATAAAGGAAACAGTTATTGCCTATTTTGGAATAAAAAATTTAGAATATTCATTGACATTGAACACATATTTATTTAGTTTTTGAATAATTTAAGTTCTTAAATGTATATAAATTATGTGAAATAAAATAATCAACATTTATTAAAATAAACTTTGTATTTTTAAACCCCAATGGTTACACTGTCGTATTTACATTTCACTGTAGTATTTACACTGTCAGTAGTAATTACACTGTAGTTTCTCATGACAAGACATCTCAACCAAGATCCTCTAGAGAACTTCTTTGGCCTCATTAGGCAGCAGGGAAATTGTGACAACACAGTCTCATACAATTCACCAGAGCATTTTGCAAATTATTTGTAGACAATATTTTGACACCACTTTCAATTGGCAGCTGTGCTGAAGATTCTGATGCCTATTTGATTGCATTTCACCCTAGCCAATCTCTGATTTATCTGCAGGAAATGATCAGACAAGCCCACCACTAATCCAAGCAGTTGAAGATACTGACTACAAAACAAATGAAATTGAACAAAACTTTAGTCTGCATGAACTTATGTGTCAGGCTATTTATTAAGGAAGTGGCTTATCCAACATAGCTGTTCAATATGCCATCATAATTTTGTGACAAAGGATGTCAATGACAGTAGTCTCTGCTATTCTGCATGTTCAAGACCTCTGACCTTTGAAGGCATAAGCTGTGCAGGCGAATTAACAATCCATAAAGAAACGTTTCTTTGCTGGAGAATACATTTGTGAATAATGTGCTTAACAGTTGCATAGAAAGTATTAAAAACATAGGTAGTTTTACTTTTAATTTTTGCTCACAAATCCCAAAGCTACATGGAACCTGATGGAAGTGTTTCAAATCAGCACCTATGCTTTCTTATTAATGTAAAAGATAGGAAAGCAATACGTTTGGCCCGCATTAAATTAGCGAAATGGGAATCTGCTTCTTGGCAGAACATCACAAGCACCGAGATTGTAAAATATGGCCATGCGGTACAAAGTTTATACTATTTTTTTCTTTGTATTTAGCCTATAAATGTATATCTTTTTACATAAAAATAACCACTTACCATTTATATTTCAAATTTGAATCCCAAAATGAAGTTCGGTGGAGCAACTTCACAAAAATACTTATTTTTCTACTTTCGAACGGTGTTTTTCCTATGCTTTTGACTGAAAACACGACGAATGACACTTGCCAGAGCAATTTGCGTGGCGCGTGGAAATTACGTTGCACGGGGACACAAAGAACAAAGGAATCGCCGCGAGTTCCGCCTCTGTATACTCTGTGACTCAAGTAAACATGGAAAACTACCAAATACTCACAAGCATGAAAAGTATGGCTATCAACTGTTCGAAGATAAAGTGGTTAGCCAGGTTGTAGTGAAGGCTAATGTTTTGAAAGGCACAGTGTTGTGCATGCCCCCATGAAAAAGGCACACCATTGGAGTCTATGTTCAACTACACCAGGACACTTGTAAATATCTTGTGCAAGTTGCACTTGTACAGGTGGTTGCTGTAAACATGTAGCTGCCCTGCTATTTCAAATTTTGGACTTGACTTATTATTAAACTGAAGTCCCAGATGATTTAACATGTACACAACTTACTAATGAGAAACTTATACTGCAGTGCTTTTTGACCAAATAAAAATAAGCATGGCAACTTCCAAGACAGAAATATGTTACACAGCAGACTACAACAACCCAGCACTTGCTTTTGCTAAACATGTAAATGTTGAAGACTTGAGAAAACTTGAGGGTGTACCAACGTAGCACATTATGGCCCATTACTGTCTGAAAAAGACGCCCAAGCAAGTAAACATGAAATTGTTGTGTTCTGAAAACAATGGCACATGTCTCTTTTTCAGTTGCTGAGAACTTTCTCTGTCATGCTGAAAGGGCCTTTGTTGCATAGGCAACAACCGTTTCGTGTCTGTGATCATTGATCTGCGTCAAAACTGTGCCAACACCAAAATCAGATGTGTCAGTCTGGAGTATGAATTTGCGATCAAAGCTACAATCCAGGTCAAAAATACTTGGCACACTTAGTTGAATTAGCATAACCTTTACTTAATTTCTGATTACCATATAAATACTTGCCCAATTGATGCAAAATTTCATGTCCAAGCACCCCCTATCCCCCTTATCAATGTTGTGTAACACCTTGGACATATACCACACTACAGACAACATTAAACAGGGGAAAGGGGGTTGCTATCCTTGTTATTGAAGTGGGAGTCAAATTTCGCACAGTTTGTCAAGTGCACCAATATTTTTGACCAGGATTTCCGAATATATAAATGAAACTAAAATTTATGTACATATATAATTTTGACTCAGAATGTACCGAAGCATTATTTACGTGTTTTCCACGTATATTGGGAGGCGTGTTCTAGATGATTTCGTTGGGAGTTATTGAAAACCTGGTGTGGGTGTCGTAATGTTGATAATTATGATGTCATATGTAGGGGGTGTTACTATGAATCATGCTAATCCCGTATGCGTATATTAAGTGAGGCTGGCAAGAAAATAAAATGCATTTCGATAATTAGATTAATTTAAGGATGATTTACACAAAAATCACAGCAAAGACAAGGGCTTTGGTACTTTATTATAGAAAGGAATCAGGTTTTTCGAACAGGGAGATCGCGAGAAAACGTCATATAAACCCTTCATCAGTAGCAAGAATATAGAGGGAAGACCAACAACCAGCTGCGCTGAGATTTAAACAGTTAAACGACAACAAGGTCGCCCAAGAAAAGTTGATGAGTGATCGTAATCGTCGCTATTTTGAAAGGATGGGAAAGGTGTGGTTCTCAAAGTTCCCTATGAGAAAATGAATGGCAATTTCTTTGCAGAGTTCATTGGAAAGCATTTTAATACTTGTTTCGCAAAGTGCGGACGTAACAAAATGATCGTCACCTGTTTCTCATGGATAATGACCAATCACAAACGAGTAAAGCAGCGCGAAAAGCAATGGAAAAAATCGAGGCTGAATTTCACAAGATTCTGGCTAGATCGCCTGACCTGAAGCCGATTGAAAATGTCTTTCACTTGGTAAAGAAAAGTCTCGAGAATGAAGCAATTGCTAATAATATAACGCACGAAACGTTCCAAGACTTTTCAGCGCGGGTTTTAAAATCCTTGGAAAATCTGTCAACCGATGTAATCGATCGTACTATTTCAAGCCTGTCAAGTCGAGTAGATGCTGTTCTTAAAGCAAGAGGAAATCGCATAAAATACTAGGAGTTCCATCTTTTACTGTTATATATAGTAATTCAAGGCAGAGTAGGGGCAGTATAGATCAAAATAGGTGTAGCCATTTTCGCAAATAGGCAATTAGCTTGCTGTCAACAAGTAGATTAAATGCTAAGTACAATCACATGTCTTCACAGCATGACTCCAATGGTGCAGCAATGCAAAATTACAAACAGTGTTCCCTTGATATTTCCTAATTGCCAAGGATGCAAAAATCTTTGTTTTCTGATACACAAAGTGGTTTGCATTACTTGAATAAATGCATTTATTCACTTTAAAATCTTATTTAAGGTCATTATTGCAAAATTAAGATCAGTGCTCCACAAACCTAGCTTGAATTCCTTGACTATCTCACTGAATTCTTTAGGAAAATGGGGAGCACTATTCAAAATCATGCAAGATATAGTAATAATTTATTTATTTCGAAGCAAATAAGTTGACCATTAAATATCATTATCAAAGATCGTTATATTATTTGGAATATTAAAATTTAAAAGATTTACAATGAATTTTTTGATGGAGTAATGTATAGACCTATGATTTTATGTTGTGCATATCTGGGCGTGAAACATTATAGGTTGTAAGTGCTTATGTGAATGACTAATGCGATTTAGTTATAACTTGTTATCTAAAACAAACTTAGCAAAGCAATGTCCACATGGTATTCAGTCGTCAAATGCAACTTGTGAAATATATACAAGACCACAAATTATGGCTTAAATACTTGTTTCCGTCTGTTTATATTTTTCAAAATGTGCACACACCCATAATATTGTTAGATTATAAGTAAGATTAAAGTGAAAATTCTAAAAAAGGATATATGTATGAAATAACATACTTTAATATGTCATTATTATATTTTATTATTATATTATAAATGTTTATTATCTATTTAGACGCATGTTATTAATACGCAAAAGATTATTACAGGTTCACTAAATGATTCAAGGATTAAGGCCGATGTATTTTGATGAAATAAAAATATAAATGTAAGATAATGCACATTCAGACAATCCTGGTCAAAAATACTTGGCGCACTTAATCGAATTAGAATAACCTTTACTTCATTTCTGATTACCATATAATACTTGCCCAATTGATGCAAAATGAATTTTCTCATTTGTGTGACCAGCAGTATGCTGAGGTTTTCTCAGTAAGTCGATGGGGTGCGGCAACTGTCGCGAAACCAGGAATAAATTTTCTGAAAAAGCCAGCAAGTCCTAAAAAGCTTCTAATGGATTAGTTATGTCACACACATATGCTATTTTAGCAGGGTCAGGCCTGAATTTCTGACTGTGAAATTACATGGCCTAGAAATGCAACTTGGCATGCCACAATTTTATATTTAGATAATTTTATGCATAGGTTATGTTCTCGTAGTCGCAATGAAACCATTTCTAACCGTTCGCAATGCTCTTTCATATTGTGGCCAAACACAATGACATTGTCAAGGTAACATAAACAGATTGTGCAAGTTAATCCTGATAAAGTTATATCCATTGTACATTGAAACGTGGCTGGCGCGGGAGAAAGGCCTTCTATAATCTGTTTGGTGTTGCAAAAGCAGTTTTATGACTATCTTTTTCGTCAACAGATTTTTGCCAATATCCGCTCCTCAAATAAAGTGTTGTGAAATATTTAGAATCACCTAGAGAATGGAAGATGAATATCACAAGTTGTTTTAATTCGAAAAGATTTGGCTCGATGCAGCGAGGTAAAATACACATACAGCAAGGTAATATATATATATATATATATATATATATATATATATATATGAATATATGAATATATGAATATATGAATATGTTTGTGGAACCATGTCTGGTATATTATAAACTTGTGGTAAGGATTGTTCAGACATATAAAATTAACTGTATATTTGTTAATATCCAA